TAAAATCAAGCTTATGTATCTGTAGATGTAGCTGTATCTGAAAAAGGCGAACGTATGAATTTTTAGCAAAAGTATATACAAAACAAAATTGAAAACAATTTTTCAAACACAACTGAACGAATGGAACTAAATGTGTCAGTGTGCAAAAGAGTACGAAATCCTTAAAGCCATATTGAGAGCTCAAGGATACAAATTTTATTTAATGCCACAATCACGTTTCGTAGGCTTTGTTAACAAAAGGAACACAATTCAACAGCAAAATAAATAAATAAGCAAATTGAAATTCAGCTTTGCTTTGGAAATATCATAAGCAATGACAGGCTTAATGAGCACCAGTTCAATTTTTGTCAGCTTTACTCCTCAGCTCCTCAGTTGATGCTGCAAATCTTTTAAATTTTTATTTATTTCCAATTTCGTATTAAAATCAGTGAGCAAACTTTAATCCACTGTAATATGTTCTTTTCAACCAGAAATGCAAAGTAAATGAAGAGATTAATGTTGGAGAATATGAGAAATTGGGAACGGATATTATCGCTGAAGATGAATTGGGGTAGATATTCGTAGTATCAAATCAATTAAAGAACTTTGGGAATTGAAATTGAAAATGCGAAATATAAAGAGTAATGTTGTTGATCTGAAAGATTAAATATTCTCACAGAAAATATGCGCAGCAATTATTCTTGCCATGGAAATAAAATTTATAGAAATTTATGATATGGATGTCTCCATTCAAACTACATGTAAATCCTTGTGTATGATTGCAAGAATATTTAATGATATTTTCAAATATTCTTTCAATATCGTTGTCAGTCTAATAATCAGAAGAAGAAATACCATTGTTAATAGGCGCTACTATGAGCTCACTAGACTGTTGGAATGCAGTCTTCATTGTCTACTGACAGAACTCTATATATTGCATAACTTAGAATATATATGTAGCGCAGGAATATTTGTAGAAACGTGGGATGAAGAACATTTATAGTGCTCGAGAAAAAGTCTTTGGAAGATCTTTGGTTCTAAACGATTTAACAACGACTACAATTCTCGAATATTTGATGAACTGTACTAGCACATCATTGAGATTTTAAGTCTCCATACACCAAAAACGTATCAATAGCGAGCAAGAGGCTAAGAAGATAAGTATTGCGTCTGATATTAAGTTATAAGCCTATTAAATAAAAAAATATGTAGGTATGTACTCTCCTATAAGAAGTTAACAGTGTAACTGTAGAATGATCAAGAGTAATAATGTTCGAGAAGAAATTCATTGAACGATGTTTGATCCTCTACGAGTTGGAAACTACAACCAAATCCAAAGAAACGACGAAGTGTACAAAATTAATCACAACATTGTGTCAACAACCAGAATCAGCACCGAAACAAGAGACAATTGAGACTAAGCTGAGGTGCTTATAGATGATTTCTCGATCTGGCGTTAGGTTATTATGGTCAACTAAGTATTAAATACATTAACTTCATGCAAAAATATTTAACAAAACAGTGCTTTTATATATTGTATGAAGAATATATGGTACGATAATTGTATATACACATATGATGCTCTAGGCTTTTATTGAAATGAGTACAGTACGTTTTATTTTATTAGTAGCTAGTTTAGTTTATAGTGAACTCAAAAAGATGTTAGATCTGAATTTCATAACAAAACGAATAATGCTATATAAACTTTATTCGATTTTGCGAATATTGACAGAACTATATTTATTTGATACTGCGATTTGGATAGTACACTTTAATCAGTATATACTATATTGATATGCAATTTCTTTCGTACCAAAACGATTTGTATTCGATAACGAAATGTTAATAGCTATTGTCTTATCAATATCAATCTTCAGGCCGTTCTTAGACGCTTTAAACGTTAAGATATTAATTGTAATTTTCATCTTTGTACGTTGTTGCATACGTCATCATTCTAGCAGAATTTCCCCAGTTTTTCTATAGTTTCCCATTAGATACAACATATATTCATGTCAAATATAATATTCTGTACCTTAATATACAGAAGAGCAGATAGAGCTTAGTACTATTAGATCCCATTTGAAAAACTGATGAAATAAATATAATCTACGCAAAATATATTTAGATAAAATCCTGCTTAAAAATGGTAATTATCTATCTCAAATGTTCTGTAATTCTATTTAGGAGAACTTCCAATGAAATAAGTGTAGTGATTTGACGACTTAAATCATAGTTACATGCTTAACATATATCAGAACCTTTTACTTTACTTAGTATATGTAGAGGAATAATTTTCATTGAAATGAAAATTATGAAATGAGTTTATATTTCATTTATTCTTTTCAAAAACACTCATTTTTAAAATAACTTTTATCCTCATCGAATGTATATTTAAAGTTTCATTTGCTGTGAAAAAATCATGGCAAATACAATACGCTATTATGTACATAGCGAGGCATGAACGCCTTAATCAGAAATATTTATGGATTGGTCACCGAAAACAGTTTCGACAATCAAACAATGAAATTCATTACATTTTCGTAAAAATACTGAAAATATTTTTGGATTTTTTCAAAACCACTTTAATAATTTACGAGTGCATGAACTCCGAAACAAGCAAACAAACAGGACGAAAACCACTTGTGAACGATTGTTCAACAAACCGTGGGAATTTTACGTTGTGTAATTGTTTGCGTTGCGTTGCGTCGCGTCGCTGTTCAATTCGGTGAAGTCGAAAAAAGTGATTTTAACAAAATGGTTGCAAATGGCTTCAGGTGGCAACACTGAACTGCAATTTGTATCTGTTATTGGTACAATGCAAATCTTTCGTTAGTGCATTTGTGTATGCGAGCATGCATGTTGGTTAGTTGTCATTTTATGTTAGTTTGGTTTGTTTAGTTTGTTGCAATTATCGCGCTATGGCCACCGATTCGACACACGTTTTGGGTTAACGACTTCGTTTTGGCTTGTCATATTTTATCGTAGCTGATATGACAATTTGCAGTACTAATAAGCTCAGACACCAATACTCTACACACACAAACACACACAAATAGACACATTCATATAAATGTGCTCAGACCACGGGAAGGCCTTGAGTTGCTCCTAACATATATGCGTAGTCGACAACACAAATTGCAACTGAAAAGCAAAAAAAACCGCATAAAACATTCTACAAAACCGCAAATGTTGATTTTGTGGTATGCAAAAAGCTGGTGTCTTCGGTAGATGGGAGTACTGATGGGGTGCTGCGTTTAACGACAATTCAAGCACCATTAAACAAATATTTTGGATGAAAACATATGCAGTGCTCAACATATTGACTTTTATGATTTTTGCTCTTCTGCTTCAAAGCGATTCTACGAATTACTGCGACAAGTTGATTTACTCTGCCTCTTAGAGTGCATTAATTTTTCAAATGAAAAAGAAAAGAATATTAAAAATTATATAAAGCAAATATGAAGAAAACTAATATCTAACCTAAGAATAATCAGTTTCATACTAACGTACTTGCTTGCAATAATTTGCAATAGCTGCTTTCCAGAAAATTGGTTTATTGATATATATATATTGATACATTGTTTTTACTATACAATTCAACAATTGCAAATATGCAGTAAAATCGCATCTTTAATAATTCAAAAATGTTGAGTTTCTCTCAACTTGTTATCTAGCCTCTTCCGTGTTTGACTCATCAATGTATACAGATACATAAACCGGAAATTAATTGCAAATATCTTAAAATCTTGAAAGCTAATTATTTTTTTTAAATTACAAAACTTATTTAGTCCAAATTGGACAAGAAAAGCACCTGTCAACTTCTCTAACTAAAGTAAAACCTACTTAGTACTATCCTATAACTGCTAACAATTCAATGCGTATTAAGAAGACATATAGCAAGACTTGGCTTTCCATATATTAAAAGGTGAAAAGGTGACTATAGTACACCTTAAGTATCATTTTTAAACAGTAGAAGATTAAGTAATATTTCGTCCTCTTTTCTTACCGACTTGACAGATTTGTCACCTTTTAATATAAGAGATATTGCTAAGTTTACAGACTAGCTTGATTTTCTTTCACTTCAATGAATGGGTTGAAGTATATTGACTACTTCAGATTTTTAATGTTTTTTATACAGTTTTTTAGGCCTAAAGACAATATCTACCCATTCTATTACAACGAATTTTTTAGGAACTCAGATCCACTTTAGTGAACAAGAGCACTACTCAAACCTTATCGGACTTAACCTTGACTGCTGGATACTGAATTATAATATTTTATATATCAAAACAAAACAACAAGACGTTAATAAGTTTATTTAACATGTACAATGACAAAAAAAAGTTAATAGATCAAAATATACTTTAATATATTTAATAAAGCATATTTTTTGGTACTTTTCAATAAAATTATTACTACTTAGTGTATGACACGATTTATTTTGTTAACCAAATACTCTAAAAATGCTTACGTATTTTTATTTATTTTAAATTCATATAAAACTTATTCAAAAATAATTGAAATAAATAATATTATTAATAAATATATAATTAATAAAATAAATATGTGATAACATAGAAAACACATAAGGGCTATGTCTGTTTGTGAAACCCTAAAATTTTACATTCTTCACAGTAGTATTCTCGTCTACTATCGACTTTTACTCAAATTCTAAATCAACTACTCAAGCTTTCTTCAATAAAAATAGATCTTTCTGCTTTGAGTATAAATATTATTACTCAATTTTATTAACGGCGATATCAGCAACATACGTATGTATGTATATGCCTCATATTATTTTCCCATTTTTATGCTCAACTACTCATGCTTGCATATCATATCAGCATTCTCACATATCAGCAATTCATATTGCACTCATTTCTCTAAAAAAACGAGTGTTAATTTTCGTTGCTGTTGTATTATCAGCTTTTTATGAGCGACTTTTTTATTATCATTAAGTGTTTGTTTGTTCGTTCGGTTGTTTGTTTATTTACTCGTATAAGTCGTATAAGAAGAGGGGCAAGTAAAAACGAACGCTCAGTTTTGTTGTCGCTGACATTCAGTACGCGTTGTTAAAACTAATTTAATCTTTAAGTGAGAAATAAATAAAAAAAAATTAGTTTCTCAACAATTTTAAGTTTTTGCTGCAGTTCAAGCGACAGATTGCAACCGCTTCGATATGGTACGCGTTGTGGAAGATAGTTTTGGAAACGCCATAAATCCGCTTACCAAGCGGAACGAAACTATACGCCGCTTCACAATTTCCAATGAAATGCAAATGTCAGTGCAGGTGAGTGGCAAATGGAACATCGAACAAAAAACCTCAAACGATAAAGAAAACAAAAAGCGCAACTAAAAGCGAAGTGAAGGCGTCAATGAACACACAAATTGAGTTAGTTTTTTGCTTTGCTGGAATGTTTAGTGGCATTTTTTACTAGAATTTCTAGTGTCTTTGCCATGAACAATAAAACTCACACTTTACGCTGATGGCTAATTCAATTTGCGCTCAACGCTTTCACAGAAATTTTAAAATTTTCCAGCATTGCACTCAGGGGCTCTTGGTACCGAGTGCTTGGTCTCAAAGTGGGCGAATTTATACAAACGGGAACAAAAAAGGCTTAAGTGTTTGCTTTTAAGATCAAAATATGAAACTGATCTGAACTAAAGCACAAAAGACTCAATCTAATTTTTAGTGTGAAACATTTACTTAGTGTTCACTTAAAATCTAAACTTTTAGCACTAATTAAGCTATCCAGATGCACAACGTTTTCATTTTTTTAAAATACTTTAACTGAAACAATGGATTTTATGGAAGTCAACAAAATATCTGAGTATAGCCAAATAAAAACTTAGCAGAAGAAAATTCTTATCACATCTCAAAATTAGGTTAGTCCAACCTGGGCAGATATATACCAATCACCTGCTTTCACTAAAGTGAACCTGCTCAGCACTACGATATCGGTGCTGACAGGTCAGTGCGTATTAGAAAAAGATGCTACGGGACTGATTGTACTTTATAATAATATTTACCGTCGTTGTGGCTCCAAACATTAGCAGAAATCCATGTTTCACCTCTTTTGTTAATGTCCATATTTGGCCAATAGAAGATTAAAAATCTTTATCAGTTCTTTGGCCTATTTTATAAACTTTTTTGGCTGGTGCACTTTCACTTGAATGTCGTGCTTTTCAGTAGTGTCTGTACACTGACCTACACGACCCTTTTAGACCCCTTTTCGTCTGTATAAGTACGAAACAAGTCCATAGTATAACAATAGATTATTATTTAGGCTCCAATAGGCTTTGGTGCAGAAAATCGCCACTCCAACTTAACTTACCCTTATAACTGACACGATTATATTTATCAGTTTATTGTAGTTAAATAGAACATTACAACTTTCTTCTTTCATTTTTTCGACCTTAAAAAACTATTTTGATAAACTTACATATGTACTCCATAACAACATATGTACTCTATCTTTTCATCGAAAATACATACTCGACTAAGAATAACTAATATTGTGACTCTTGCAGTCTAAAGAATTATATACAAATTATAAACAAATTAAATAAAAATTCGAATATTTCCTAAAATCACTGTTGATGAGTACTTGGCAATACTGGAAACAGAATTGTATGGACAGTTAAATTTCAATAAATTAATCAAATTTTTGTTATTGTTTCTTCATTATTATTCGAACCCTTCGTCAATAAACGCATCACACTTGACAAAAGAATCAACGTTAGTAAACAGTTTTGCATGTAGTTTCAATTTTATTAATTATAACTTTTAAATTTGGTAATTTTATAAAACACTGGAACACTGGACCTATTATTTAACGAAACATTATTGCAAAGAAATTAATTTTTAGAACATAAGCCAATAATAATTATCATAAACATATTCTTTAAACTTACATATCACAAGATTAAAAAATATTAACAACAATAGTAATCTTGAATCCATTGGGATTAAACTTTAACTCTTTCAAATGGCTTATCATCGTATACTACATTGAATAGAATCCATGCCTACTAATGGCAAACGGTTCCTTAACCAATCTTACTAGAGGAAACCACGCCGTAAACGAACTTCCGTGACACGCACCAAAATGGAAGAAACATTTTCCACTATTTCTCCATTGACTTAACGACAAACCATAAAATAACAAAATAAGAAGGAGCAACACAAACATCGTAGTGGAGGTCAAGTTGCAAGGTAAATGGAATAAAGCCAATATTAAAATTTAGAGTGGTGATGAAGTTACTAATCCACCCAGGCAATCAAAAGAGCTTCCACTAAAGTTGACGAATCAGAGACAACTAATCGTACATTCTTCGTCTGCTTTCCTTGATATCTTAACTGTTGATGAAAGCATCCAAAAGCATTTCAACTTCACTTTTATGTGTTACGCTTTTTATTCCCATAAATGCGCGTTGTTGCCATAGGATCATGCCTAACTACGATTTTGTGGGCTTAAGTTCTTCAGTTGAGCTTATGCAGTCATGTATCCACAAAACAGTTCCTAAGCACGATTTTGGGTCAACTTCCGATTTCTCATACCGGAAATTTAACATTTATCCCACATGTATCCGCTAACTAAAGCATATGGTAACTTTTGAATACGAAGAGTGAAAGGACAAATACAATTGACGAAAAGTTCGACATTTTTGTACAAAACGGACAGAAGTTGGCATTCTTCTCTTCCAACAAACACATTTGAATTTCTTCCTAAAGGGGATTTTTTCACTATATATGTATGGAATCTGGGATATGTGTAATGACCAGTGTATTGTAGTTATTGTTCAGTTTTTTTATATAAGTTTATTTATACTTTTTATTAAAATTTTTTATTTTTATATTTCTTTGTGTTTTATTTTGTATTTGTGGAAACTGCAAATGGCCACGCAACTTCACTGACTACTGTTTGCCTGGATTTCTTGCTTCACCACACCGCACTCTTCTATACTCTTCTATGCTTTTATTGCTTCTGCTGGTCTATTATGGTCAACAACATAAAAGGTTATAACGCGTGGCGCTACTATCACTACTCTCAAAGTGCCGGATGCAAGTGGCAATGTGGATGATGTTGTGCTCGGTTACGATGATATTGCAGGTAGGTATGAATACAAAGCAAAAAATGTATATAGCATTAAATGAAAAATAACATCACCCATGTTGATGACACATGAAAAACTGCAATTTTAATTATGTTTCAAATTATCTTCATTCAAAAAAAACACAATTTTTTGCTATCCACGACCGATTATGAAGCAAATGGAGCAGTGGGTCACCACAACTCATATCTGAAGCGGTTTAACCACTTTCCAAATGTTGACTGTGTCATATTGTACTCAAAATTTTGTATTGACAAAATTTCACAAATTAAAATTGTGGTGACCTTATAAAAAGTGATAAGTCTTGGTTAATAATAAACAAAAATTATTTATGAAACTTATAAACTATTCAAGTAGTGTGAAAGAAGATACTTTTATTCAGTTGAATACTTTAACCGCAATGGAATACTTATCACGACAAACTAAATTACTTGAGGTCGTTTGTATACTTGGTTATATAGCCTTTATGACAAAAGATATATAACTTTTTAAGCTACTCATATGATAAATTTTATTATTTCCAACAATTATTGCATAGGATCATATTCAGATACTCAAGCAGTTAAAGGTAATAACCATTTACAGTCCTTTTGTTATCATATTGTGAAATGAGTTCTAATTAGATAATGCATATAATGATAATGTAAATATACATAATAAGCATAAAAAAGAAACTTGGGATCACGAAAATGTATAAAAAACCGAGACAGACTTCAGCGACTTAGAGGTAGTTTTAACTTTAGTTTAACTTCAGATAGCTGGAATGCTATCTCGAGTTCTAAATACAATACTAAAAAGCTTGTTATTAAGCGAATAATTATAAAACACCATTTCCACCACGATTTAGTACATGTTCAGTAAATTAATAAATATTAGAAGAATAACATTCTGATCCTGATGGCAATCACACTTAAACAATGTAGTAAAAAAATACATCTAATTTATGAGTTCCAATATGAGCTACGAAAAATTTCACAGGAGCTTATAATCTGAACAGTCGATGTTTTAAGAAAACCTCCAATAAAGCTTGTTATGAAGAATCCTTAATGGTACACCTCTGCAAAAGTATTAGACTATACAAGTTGAGTATAATCTAAATGCTTTCATATTCAATCTAATCTGAATATGAAAGTCTGGGTGAACAAGTAAATTCCGATTAAGTAGGTAACATCTTTCTCATACATAAAAATTTTGATTTTTATTGAAGAACAGTTTTGATCTTTATTGAAGACTGCACACAAGACTGGCATCCATTTGTATTTCAAGGATTCTCTAAAATAAACAATATTCATTAGATTATTAATACTAACTAGTGACGCTACAAGTGTAAAATATGGAAATTCTTCCTATGACTGTCTCCATAACGTAAGCCTTATGCAAACAAGTTGTCCCTGTAGTTTATAATGATTATTAGGACATTTAAGTCTGATTTATAAGGCTTTAGTTCATTTAATTTTATTTTTTAATATTATAATGATGTCATATATAATAGCATTTTATTTTACTATGCAAAACCTATAGTTATACATCCATGTATCTATATCCACATATAACTTGATGATGTTTATTTTATTTATTTTTTGTCTTAGTACATTTTTTTTATTTGTGAAGTATTTTTGTTTTTAAGTTACGAGTATTTCGAATATGATGAGTTTAACGTAAAACACTAACAAGCAAAAACCCAGAGTGTCAGACGTTAAGTCAAGCAAAGGGTCAATTTGATGTTTGATAGCTCACCACGAGAAATGTGTAGTGACCACTAAATTTAGTAGTTAGTAGCAAATTGCAGGAGCAACACAAAACTCCTTGTTACTATTTCCATTTAAAATTTATTGCCAAGAAGAATGCGCATCCAGCAGCACAAAAAGAAACGCACTTCAAGCACAGAATCAAACTACAAAAGAGCTAAAAATGGGTTTTTAACGCTTCACCAAAATGACCCCAACATGGCCACCAACAGCAACAACCACTATTTCCGCTGTGTCTGTTACTTTTTTCACTTGCCACACCAGAGGATTTCGCTGAGTTCCACACAAATTCTAGCACAAAACATTTTCTACTACAAATTTTTACTTTCTAATTTTTATATGTTTTTTATTAACTCTTTTCCTCCCTTTTTGCACTTCTCCTATTTTTTATTTATTATCCCTCTTTTCTGTTCTAACTCACCCAAATTTAAAATTTTTTCCACAGGTTACCAAACTTCAACGAATCCTTATTTTGGCGCCACTGTTGGGCGCGTTTGTAATCGCATTGGCAATGGACGCTTTAAGCTCGCCGGTCGGGAAATTCAAGTCAGTCGGAACTTCAACAACAAACACCAACTGCACGGCGGCTTCATTGGTTTTGACAAGGTGCACTGGGAAGTAATTGGGGTACATGCTGATGGCGTTACGTTGCAACACTCCTCTCCAGACGGACACGAAGGATATCCGGGCCAAGTTACCGCAACGGTGCATTTTACGCTGACCGAGGACAATTGTCTGCATGTGCGCATGGAAGCGGAGACAACTAAAACGACGGCGGTCAATATGACAAATCACACGTATTTCAATTTGGCTGGACATGTAAGTAACCTGCAATATTTGACATACTCGTACAATAAATATATGAGAGCTCAGACAGCAGTGTGAGGCAGCAGTGTGGATGGGTGCAGATTGTGAATATTCCACAAATTGTAATTGTTAGCAGGATATGAAATGTCATTAGGGAAGGAAATGATAAAACTTCAAATTGCTTCTCTTATGTCCATTTAAGACCTGCTGATGACATTTTATGATCAGCAAATAAATTATATGAAGTAAAATATGAAATTTATTTTGAAATTATCGCATAAATTTGTAAGACATACATGGAAGAAGATTGTGGAATGTAAAAGAATTGTTGAGTTTATATCGTTAACCTGAAATTAAAGTTGCACAATAGCAGCACCAAGTAGGAAGATAGTATAAAGCTTTTCCCATACAATATTATATGTTATAATAATTTTGTTTGTATCAACTAATCGGAAAGAGTCTTCTCTTTGTCCAATGTCGATATATTTAATTCAAAAATTTATCTTGTTTAAATCTTAAGATATTGCTTTAGTATGTCTCTTGTTAGAACAATAGCAACCATTAATTAAAACAGACATAGATGCAGATGTCTTACTACTACTTCAACCTTCTCACAAATTCTTTATTATAATGATTTTATGTTTTATATAATCGAAAGAGTACTTCTCTTAGTTACAATACTCCCTATATAACCCAAAAATGTGTAGTTGAGGACTGCATTTCAACATATCGCTTATAGTGCTAGCTTAATACCCACTATTAATTAAAAAATATATAGAGGTTGAGAGTTTACTTTACTTTAAGCTACTCTCATATCATTTTGTTATTTCGAAAAATGCGAAATGATTATCACTTAGTCGTGGTATCATACATTAGCCTAGTTTGGATTGCGCCAAGAAGGAGAATATATATTTCTGCCAATATTTCTTTTGGCAGTGTTTTCGTCGTATATTATCTGTAGATTATATTCTAAAATGAAGAGAGGATCAATCAACTAACTGTGCATCTTTAGGCCCAAAAAATATAGTTGATACTATATCTTAATATATTGCTTTCGACTGTCTCTTGGTAAGCCAATATGTAACTATAATTTCATATGCATCATTCAATTACAGGTGTCTGGAACTTTAACTAAGTAACAACAAATAACTATTAAAATTTAATAAATATATATAAGTAGATGAAACATAAGTTGAATTATCAATTCATGCAGAAAATGTGCATTATAATATTAGTATAAAAATAACAGTCCAACAATTAATTTGTTAAAATTACTACTTTGCTAATATTAAAAGCAAAGTAGAAGAATTTGCTAAAAGCATCGTTTATAAAAATTTCAGTTAGAGTCTAGAGTAAAAATTTCAGTTAGAGTTTAACGCCCATTGCCTAACACCTGCATATCGACTAACTTTTCTTGGTGCTGAAAAAATATAACCCAAACTTATTCATGTTTATTTAAGGCTTCTGGCAGTACTGAAATATATGCGCATTCCATTAAAATTAATGCAAACGATATCACCGAGACGGATGCAGATTCAATACCCACCGGACAGCTAACCGCGGTGCAAGGTACTCCATATGATTTGCGTGCAACTGGAAATTTAGGTGAACGCCTGAAGAAACTGCTACCTGCAAGGGGTTATGATGATAACTATTGCGTGGAGTTGGTCAACAATGGCATAACAGTGATCGGCAAGTAAGTGAAGTAAAAACAGCGAGTCTAATATTCTTGTGAATGCATTTGCTTGCATTGCTAAAATTATTATGAGAAACTCGAATAAATCCTACCTTTTTTTCTCGTTCTTCTCAATGCAGAGCATTTCACCCCGGCAGTGGTAGATGGTTGGAAATTGCAAGCAATCAACCAGGCGTACAATTTTACACTTCAAATTTTATGCCAGATGTAACGGAGGTATGAAAAACTATTAGCTGATGAAAAAAAAAAAATTAAAATCTAAGCAGTGATGCGTAGAACTCGAATGAAATTGCATTGCTCCTTATTCGGTTGAAAGTTGGTTGATACCATTGTTATATAAACCTTTAGCCATACTAAACTTATTCGGACGTGCAAATTTAATTAAATTGTTTAAGCAATAATAAAAACACAACAAGAAATGCAAGCGCAGCTCCTTGTACTTCATAAACCAATCGGGCAGAAACTAAAAAAGTTTCAGCAAAAACATTTTATCCCTGAAAAACAAAAAAAAAAGCAATATAGGTAAGGGTTTTAACAATGCGGAAATAGAAACCTGAAATAACTTTTATTTTCCGAAAATGCATAATTACAAAAGGTATTATTCTGCATAATGCCTAGGGCAATTAAAACTTTTTTCTGCTTGGTATTTACGGACTTTGAGCCTAAATTGCTTGCCTATGTAAACACTGAAAAGGTTATTGCTTTCTACTTCATTACATTACTTTAAAGAAATAGAAATTTAAAGAATATTATAACATTTGAAAAATGAATTTAATAATTTAAGATACTGCATCGTACCGTGCACCGTGCACCGTGTACCATGCACTGTGCAAATTCCGTTTAAAGTTCCAAAACAGCACGCATACGCCATGTGTGCCCAAATTTGGGCATTTAAAGTGAAATTGCTGCCAATATTGCGCACTTTTGTTATCAAAAATAGGATTGGCAATTGACTGTAGCATTGTGCTTATTTTCCGTACTTATTGTTGGAGCTGTAGCCTTACTGTTTACAATATTGCATTCATTGTTGTTGGTTTTGTCATAGTTGAAATGCATTTGCCTGCGGCAAGTACAATGGAAATATTTGTGGGTAAGGAGAACAATTGGAACCATTTGCCACTTTGCTTTGTTGAGTTCGGTTTGGTTTTGTTTTGTATTCAAACAAAACCTAAACAAACGAGAACGACTAAAAAACAATATGCCATATGTTTAACAAGCACACGTTCCAACAATAAAACATTTTTGCAACAAAAGTGCATGAATTAAGCCAAAAATTGTGGTAAGGATGCGAGTGTCTACTTCAAAAAGCTTGAATATAAATTCAGTCTACATAGCTGGTTACGTTTGATTGACTAACAGCAGACAATCGAATATTGAGTACATTTCTCTTAATGGAATTGTTTGGAATATTTGTTATAACAAAAATCAATTCATTTAATATAAAAATTTTTCTTTATTGTAACAATTTTCAAAATATTTCTTCATTAACAATCAAAAATACTTTTTTTTGACATTTACTAACCAAAGTTACTTTTACTAATTCACAGCCACCAATTGAAGGAAAATCTGGCGCCAAATACCATAAGCATGGCGCTTTTTGTCTTGAGACACAAAAATATCCCGATGCTGTCAATCATGTAAGTTGCACAGATACGTACTCCACATAAACACATGCAATCCTATTGACTTCATTGAGCTGTCAAATACTGACAAACTGACATTGCGTAAATCCTGTAATTGTTTCCGATAATATCTTCGCCATGATATCCTTTTCCGCTGTACGAAACGATATGCGTATTGTTTTTCATACACTTCCATTTGGTGTTTAATTTATTTTCATTTCTTTCTTATGTGTTTATTTCTTCCCTTTCCATAGCCAAATTTTCCATCCATCATTTTAAATCCTGGCGAAAAATACAATCACGAAGTGATTTATAAATTTGGTGTGTGTCGTCATTGCGAGGCCGAGCCAGAATAGCCAGAATAACCCGAATAGCTCGAATAGCCACAACAGGCGGACTTCCAGGGCGGATCTGTGGTTTGCTGCGAAGAGTTTATACAAAAATTTATAAATATAATTTGAATTTATTTAGATAACAAGAAAATAATAATAAATAAATTAGAATTGACATTTGCAAAAGTCCTTTGTTTGACTCAAATTTATTTGTTTAAAGTTAATGGAATATTTCCTGATGTTTTTGTTTACGTTAACATGCTTGAAAATTTAGTTTTCTTCTCCAAAATTTTCATATTGTGAAAACTGAATTTAATTTGATAAATCAATTAACATGTCAATCATTATATCAATAACAATAAGTTTTTCTTTATTAAATAATAAGCACCTTTGATAGAAAGTACCTTTGGTAGTTATCTTTCAAGCCATCAAAACCAATTAAAACACTTCAGATTAGTTTTCTCTAATCTCACTTTTATTTCAATTTCATTATTAAAACTTCAAATTAATTAAGTTAATTATGACAAGTAAAATATATATGTGAAAGACACTCAAGAGGCTAAACGTTTAAGTGATTCACTGATTGATTAAAAGTTGAAGTTTAGTTTATATATAAAGATAAAAAAGTAGCAGAAAAATTTAATTGTATATTGAACGAATGTTTCAATTTTATTTGATTTTCAAAAATAAAAAAAAAGTCTCATAGATTCATTACAGAAGCTCCCATAAGACTCTTAATATAATATTTATTAATCTAATTTCGACAGTTTAAAGTTGTTCTAATTTGAAGAAAAAACATGCTCTAATATAATATATTAAATACTCCTCAAATTATCCTTATTAGTGCCTTAAAGAAAGTCAGAGAGAAGAGTAAAACCAAGAAATAGTCTTCAAAATAGAACTCATTTCAATGTTCTTCATTTGGAAACCTCCTTTCTCTATTAAGGCTATGCTGAACGTGACCAACTTAAATTTATTTGCATCAGAAAAAATTTTTATTATTATCTCCTTTCGATATGAAATATAACTTCTGACACAGTTTAATGGAGGACAACTGTTATAGTTGCCCATTTAGCTACACCTAAAGTACGAATCCGAAGATGCCAATAATATGGATATATGTTGATGAATGTGCGAAAGTGCATCGTAATTGGTTAAGTTACTTTACAAATATAGCATCCACTTAGAAAATATATTTGTTGTGTATAAATGAAACAAAGGTTTGAATTATAATTTTTGGAGTAAGTCCCCACACATGAAAACTACACGCTTAAAAGTAATGAAGACCTACAACTGTTGACTAGTTGAAAAAGCATGAGAAATACCATATTTTCCCACAATATTTGTCGACAAGTCTAATCACAGTGATTCATATATAGAATAACTCTATACATCAATCGAGACATAAGAAACATAGATGACCACTAAAACACGTCTTATTAACTGTATAAATAAAGACCTAAGAATGCTTGCCACTTGAAACCAAGCCAGAAAACATTCACTAGCAACTCATAGAGAATAAGATAGTTGACATATTATGTGAGACGACTGCTGAGCATGAAATAAGACCCCATAAAAATTCTTATTATCTCTTTAAATAAAAATTTGGAAATTCTTGGCAATTTAACCTAATATCATTCACTAGCGAATCGTATTCTCTTCACAAATTACAATAACATCAAATGAGTATTGATATTGAAACTTAAATTCAAAAGTAATCATTACTTGAAAACTCTGCCAGCGATAGAACAGAATATTATATGACTATAGAGAGGGTCAAAATCTATTCCGGGTTGTCACGTTTAATAATGCTGATGGTAGAGAAAAAATGAAAAAGAAAAGTATTTTTATTTTATTCTTCTTTATGGTACATAGCTTCTGGTGGAGCATAGAGCGTCTCCAGTTCTCTTGGATCTTACGTTGTTAAGAACTGTATTACATACGATGTTGTATGTGTACATGTAGCAACAAACTCAGCGCCAACTGTTCTCTAATGCCTTGTTATTACTATGTCATTTTAAAAGACAATTATTATTGACTGGTGTGTCAAATGCATTTTCATTCCATAACAAGAATGCGAATATGACATCATATGATTACCGGTTTTCCTCATACTGACAATATTTGACATTGAAAATAACATAGTGAAAACAAGGCATTCGTTTTTGACGGAGCTACCTCTGGACAGCAGTTGACTTCCGATTTCCGTTCAGGGGCTTATCAAGCGTTATAACTATTTGGTTTATAGGAATTGTATCCAATCCAGTCTTTTTTTGACTCCATATTCTGCACAGGCCAATAAATCTTTGAGGTGCGTCTAAGGCATAAATTGATAAAAATTTGGTGTTCATGGCGTTAAATATGCAATATGCAATATGCAATATGCAATATGCAAAATTAAAAATCAATCAAATATTTTCTGCAACTAAAAATATTCCATTCCTTTTAGATTTAAATGAGATAATGAGAATAATATATTTTATTATATTATTTTTTCTACTATTTACGTAAACCTCAAGAGATAATAAATGTAAACAAATGCAACTGTTTTTCTATTTTTTAATTGCCTTGCAATATTATTTTTTATATTATTTTATTTTTCATTATTTTTTATATAATTTTTTTATTTATTTCTCATCTGAAGTTTTTTATTTGCTGTTGATTTCGATAAGATTTACCCGCAATAATAAAAATTGCTCAAAATGCATTCAAGAGCGGCAGTCGTGCGCTTGTTGCGCTACGTTTAACATCAACAACAGGAAACAGAAATAAAATTAAATAAAGAAACAACAACAACAATAAGAACAACAATAAAAAAAATTATTGTTCAATTGTTTTAGTGCAATTTAAACATAAAAAACACATTTCAATTTGTGGAGCTGCTCTTGAAAAGATTTCTTCTACTTAGTTTTTTGAAAGAATAATTTTCAAACTTTCAACTTTTTGAATTGAAGTTTTTGTTTTTGTTTTTAAAGAAATTTTTAATTTTTATTAAATTTTGTCTTCTCTTCCAAATTCTAACAAAATTTCCCGTAATACTTAAAAAAATGGTGAGAGTTACCGAAGATACATTTGGCACCGTTCGGGATCCTTTCACTAATAATCTCGTCACGATACGCAGATTTACTATAGACAATGATAATAATATCTCAGTACAGGTGAGTTTAAAACTTGTCGATATATCAATGGGAATATATACATTAGTGAAATACAAACTAAACTTACAAATAATCGGAGATGTGTGCTTTAGATAGTTTGCGATTAACAGGTTTTAATCAAGTGCTATAAAGAATCTACAGTGTTGTTAGTTGAGATTTGTAAAATAAGTAAAATATCAATTCAAAAAGTAAATATCATTATAAAAAAATCATTGATTGTTTGATTATTATATACAAAAAAGATTATAGGAAAATTTACCAGAATTGCGACTTAATATAGCGCTTATAGGGTCGTACAAGGGGCCAAAACTGACGGAGCTGTCATCTCATTGAGTTGGTTTTCCTTCATCTAAAGGGGGTCGTTGCCTATTTCAGCGTTGGTCGTATACTAATCACCTTGTCTATGTATAAACCAACGCTATTCCTGTGGTATCACAATGGGCAATTATTTAAGCGCATGTGGGCTTTTTGGTAAGCAAGGCCGCCACTCCAACCTAACCTAGGGTCGTACAATCACTTGTAAGTTAATGTGAGGAATATGTGAACTTAACAAAAAAATTTATACTTTTTAATAAAAACTCTAACAAGAATTAGTAAGTTACTACCAAAATAAACTAGAAATCTTAGTGAAATCGGAGACCATTAATCAAGTGCTGTGAATTTATCCTACTCTTGTGCATAAACTCAAGAGCGAAATAGTTCCAGAATAGTTAGATAACTATACATCTAAGAAGATGTTTGGTGGATACTCAACATCTGATGATGTACTTAAACTTCGAAAAATTACCCAAATTCTACTACTTGTTAAAGGGTTAGGACTTAGTGATTCACTATAAGTCCAAGTAAGGGGTGCAATAGACAATAGATTCAATAAATGCAATAGATTATTATCAAGTACATGTTTTGTAAATTTTTAATTTAATAATATTATAATTTGGTTTTCATAAAGCATTACCTATAAATGTTTCTAATAAGCACAATGTCATTTAAATGTCATAGACTTATTCATATTCGAAAGTTAATCTTAAGACATAGTATAATAGATGTTAATTTATAATATAAAAATACAAATAATATATTATTATTATTATTATATTTTTACTAGTATGAATATAATTAGATTTATATATAGCGCTATTCTCGGTAGAAACATATGGCGGGGAAAAACTTATCCATACTAGTCTGTCAAGAATATTTCATAAAATTTTTTCATCCTAAGTAAACTGCCATTATTTGGTGCGAATCGATCTAATCCAAGTATTGTAGTATATAGTAGTATGAATTTTGACCTAATTTATTTACTGAACTCAGAATATGTTTTACTCAGAATTGAGAATAAAAATTATATATTTTTGCATATAAGATCATTACATATGGTGCCACTATAACCTCACTTCTTTTGCCCGACTCTGAAGGAAAAGTAGACGACATAGCATTAGGTTTCGATGATGTGGAAGGTAAGTAGTAATATTTTAATACTATTTTCACTTAACTTGTTGTAATGCGCATTCAAATTAAAATATATTTCAACTTTAAATATTAAAACTATCAAATTTTCTTAAAGGCTATCAAGAAAAGGATTTATCAAAGAATCCTTATATTTGCTGCACTGTGGGGCGCGTGTGTAGTCGAATAGGCAATGCTAGTTACGTCTATAAAGGACAAAGAGTGAATGTAAGCAAAAACTTTTTGGGAAAACATTATCTGCATGGTGGAAATCTTGGTTTCGGACAATGCATTTGGGATGTGTTATGTATACGACCAAATGGTGTGGTCTTGCAGTTTATATCACCAGATGGACATGAGGGTTTTCCAGGTGAAGTAACGGCAAATGTCACCTTCACATTAGATGATGAAAATCAATTTCGTCAATGCTATGAAGCCACAACCACAAAGCCTACGCCAGTTAATATGACCAATCATGGTTACTACAATTTAGCGGGACATGTAAATATTATCACAAAATAATGTTCAACTGGGAAAGTAATATAAATATGTTTTTTATGTCCATTAGGCAACTGGCAAGAAGGGCATGTTTGAACATATAGTGCAAATTAAAGCTCAAACCTTTACTGACAAAGATGAGGATACAGTACCGACTGGAGAAATTTTGCCCTTGAGAAGCACTGATATTGATTTACGTAGACCAGTTAATATAGGTGTTGGTATAAAGAGACTATATCCAAAAGGTTATGATGATAATTATGTGCTGGCATTAGAGAATAACACAATAACTCTCCAAGCTAAGTGAGAACAATTTTCATTATTTTGCAATTAAGTGTAAATTATTAAATTATAATTTTCACTAGGATAACTCATCCACCAACCGGCAGATTCTTAGAGGTTAGCAGCAATCAGCCTGGCATGCATTTTTATACCGCACATAACATGCCAGATATTGAAAATGGAGAGGTGAGTATCGGTTGCACAATTTCCAAATATTTTATTTTTAAATTTAATAAAATTTGGAACTCATGGATTTTTATGTTCTTTATAGTTATGAAAAAATCAATTCAATTAGTTTTTTTTGAAGCAACTCACATAGCCCAAGTAAAACACAATTATTTTGAATTTAATGTGGAACCATGTTCGTCATACGATACGTTGCACCAAAAGTAACAGGACTCCTGCGCTTGTTGCGCTTGTACCAAATCACGTAGTTGCAGATATTAAGGATGCAATTTTCTATGCTCGTTGTGTTGCATGTACTGCTGATGCAACTTCATGTTAGGGTAGTGCATGTTTTGTTATTGATATGCCTCCGGCAATCACTGCAACAAAACACTGAATTTTAAAAACAATCCTGTTTTGTTCTGTGTTGTAAAAAGTCAAAAAATTGACTTTTGATTTTCGGAACAAGCAAATATTTTTACATTTATTCTATGTTGGGATTATAGTGTGTTGGAATTGTAGTTATTATCGTTCCACAGTATGTTTATAGAGTTATTTGTGTCTATTATTCCGCAATCCTACTCTCGTTTGTGCGATGTAAGGACTCAAGGGCAACTTCAGTTGAAGCACTGAATTCGTAAAATCATTCATTGTTTAATAAAAATATTTTGGAATTTATGATGCTTACAAAAATTAGGCCAAAGGATTACAAATAATGAAATTTGTTGGATTTGATATAATACTACAATGCATATGTAGACAGTCAGAGATATTCGTTTGAATTGGACATATATTTACTTGCACAGAAATAGTTTATATATTACACATATTTTGAACAGAAATGATGTCAAGAGTATATCTCTTTTAAAACTACAAGTAACATACTTTTTAATTCATAAAATCCCAGATCCTACGTTCAAAATACTAATATATTAAACTAAAGTACCTCAATATTACTCTAGATTTTCTGTTTTTTTGATACTGAATAATCTAACTAATTTGTAAATTTTCAACTATTTATTTTTTTTTTTTTGTTTTTCATGAATCACTTACAGCGTCCCCTAATCAAAGGCAAAGATGGTGTGAATTATGAAAAATATAGTTCATTTTGTATGGAAACCCAACAATATCCTGATGCTGTCAATCATGTAAGCAATATCGTATATAATAAAATTGTTTATTACGCTACTAAAGATGATTAATTTATATATATTTGGTTATACATATTTAGATCAATTAACCAAATAAATAATTTTTTTATAATTTTTAAAATATGTGAGTAGTTCTTCATGCTAATTTCTTACATTTGCAGTCAAATTTTCCATCTATAATTCTACAACCAGGAGAGGTCTATAGACATGTCTGCATATTTAAGTTTAGTATTTGTTCAATAAAGGATGAAACTATAAAACCTGACGAAGATTAAAAAAAAAATTCAGAAATCACAAAAGTATTCGGAAATTTAAAGTTGATGTTTGGTATAAAGTATTTTAAAATTTTTAAAAAAAATAATATATAAAGCAAAAATATGCAAAATAATAAAAGATTATCATATAAAAAACGCTTTAGAGTCAAAGACAGGATTTATAATTTCATAAAGAATTTTATAATTCTAATTATAATTATAATTTATTATAATATGTATAAAAATGTTCATATATTTCTCTCTCATAAAAAACAAATTTAAAGCAATAATCTACAAAATTTAATAAAATCGGATAATTATGTTATATTAATTAAATTAAGACCTTCGTTATTCAATGAATAAATAAATCAACTAAAACATTTGAAAGTTACTGAACTAATAGAGATAAAATTTTTTAAGTCTTTATAACCCGTAGTGGTTTAAGAACAGGATTCTTTTGATATTTAAACCTTTTTCAAATTAAAGGGTAAGAAAGTTTGAAGTTCACATTTGTGTCACAGACTCCATAATAAAGATTTGAATATAACTTCAAAATTGTATTTGAAAGGAAAATAAGTGAGTATCATTTTTTTTGACTTCATGTTTGTGACCCAAGATTTGTACAAAGGAAACTTACACGTTATGAATTTCTTCCAAATTTTCCAGATGCTATAAATAATCTTTTGGGTTTATCCACAAACTTTAGTGAATGTTATTTGTGAATTATTATTGAAATCTACAAAAAGTTACATCTCCACTTATAACTCTTAGATTTTCATACAATTGCAGCGGGAAAATTTTTAAATACGAATCCTAAAGGTTCTTGTTAGCATTAAAAGTTACTTATAAGTATAATCTAAGGCCCTCTTGAACCAATTTCTGCGGATAAACTGAAGACCGTAATATTACGATCTTTGTCAATATATTAATAATACGGTCTTTGTGGCTAATGTAGAAGCTCCAAGCATAACAAAGCTTTTAGAATTTCTTTCTTATAACTAAACCGGAAGAGGAAACTTTAGAAAATATTTATTTGTTTAAAACATTGAAATCAAATTAAAAAAGAAAAAGAAAATATTTTTTTAAAGTATTTAAATAACTTGTTAATGTGACTTAAATCAAAAACTCAACATTGAAAGCATGGCATATCATCCAGAGTATTTTTAGCTATAGTAGCTTTTAGTATATAGTATATGCTCTTATATTTTATAGTATAAATTTTTGTGGACTATATCGAATACAAATAGAGTGCAATTACTTAGAATATAAAAATTATGTAGTCCACAATATTTGTTGTACACATAGAATGCAATTGAACATACTCAGTATCTTGTATGTTCTTAACAAAGTGTGAAGTTTAATACCAAAACAAATATAATAATTAAATAATCTTAATATAAGGCTAATATCTTAGTATTTTTCTTCTTAGCATTTTTCTTAATATTCGATAAATAATTACAAATTATTATAAATAAAATAAAACAAACTACATGACAAGAGAATCTAAGGTATCAAATACTGGAGGCTCATTCTATTATTTTCGGCCGTACTTTTTAAATAGGCCAATTGACTTTGGCTTTTAAGGTTAAACTAAGCAGTAGCTTGGCAATAGAAATTAATTATATCAAGACTAGAAGACTTTCACACTAGCACTTGATCTTAATGACGAGGCAATGGGTTCTTTTCTAAAGGTTGTGCTGTAAACAAACTCTTATTTCAATAAGTCTACGGTTACATTCGGAGTATATTTCATAGTTTTAGAGCCTGCTATTCAAACCAAAGACCCTTCAGACTATGCTTACGCACTTTTAGGAGTTAGAATTCATTCAATAGGACTCAATATCAGAAACTCACCATAGATGATAAGTCTTCGTTAAGAAACATCAGCTGATGATATCATCTGTCTATAAACTATACTCAACAGTACATCTTAAATGTGTTAATTTTTGCTGGATCTTAATTAGACTTTAATTGTCATATGTGGAACGAAATACTTCCCGACAAAGTATTTCGTAGATTAATTTTTATTTACAATATATTCCTCTTACGGAACGGCTTTTGAGATTTTTAGAAGGCATTATAGTGCATCACGCACTTTGAGAATTCAGCTGTAAGTATTATGGTATGACTCAACCCAGTCAATTCAACCTGTGTTGCTTACTGGTTTAATATGAAGAACATATTCTTATAGCTGACTATTCGTTTTCTTCTCAAAATCGAGGTAAGGTTATCAATAAAAGCATTGGTTAAGTACAGTGATTTGATTTGTCACAGTTTTATAAAAACTACAGCATTAAGGAACTGTAGAATTGTCTCTTCCACTACTACTTTCGCTTGTTTTACCCTTAGTTAAAGTAACTGTTATAGTATAATAGTAATCTATTTAAAGCTCTAGTGAGAAATCATATTCGCATTTTATTTTTTGGTGTAGCAATTAATTGTTATTATAACTGAATAAAAACAAATTCTTCATGAAAATTAAAATAATGGTTTGAGAATGTGAGATTCTCAGATATTCTCAGATCAACAGATTTATTTTTCATGTGAAGTAATGACAAAACGTTAGCAAAACTATTATAAAATATTAAAATTAAAAATCATAGGTGAATTAAATACAAGAAAGCAGATTAAAACTTATTGAATAAATATTAAAAAATAAATTTAATACCATTTGTGTGTTTATAGAATAAACTACGAGGCAGCACTCATGCTAGTCACGTGTCAAATATCAATCAATTTATTCAAAACATATCGTAGCACACAGTCGATGACCTACCAAAGCTAAAAAATTGTGTTTATTATTCGATAAGTAGAACGAGAAAATATAATCAAAAAATTATTAATTTGATTTGTTTCCATTTGTTTATTTTTAGTTTTTATTAATTGTCATAAAATAAACCAACCGACCTTCAAATATTGACATAAGCAAACTTTCACTGAAATTTAAAATAATTCAATTCTGCAGATCCTAAAATATCAACGAGACGAAGGCATTTTAAGTCATAAATTTAATTTAATAATATAGTCATATAGTTTATATATAGTTTATATACCGTTTATCATTCATTAAAGTTTCAATGTTTTATAAATAGACTAATTACTCAACTATAATAATAGGAATGCTGACAGGCTGGAGTGTTTTTAATTCTTTGCAGTTGACTGCCACACAAAGTCAATAAAATATACGAACTACCTATAATGACAAATGCTGGATATGCATAGAACTAAGAAACATATTCGTATATCTATTATATTTATTTCCTAAATTAACATTAACGTGCTTGAAGTGTTTTGGGGCTCTACAGTTTGATATGTTAGGGGATACCTTAGAAATAAAATTTTAAGTACATCTTAATTTCTCAAAACCGTTACCATTCTTAATGATGTCTAGAGTTCCAGTTTTATGTGGCATCACAAGGAACCTAGGTCATCCAGATCAATATTATTTAACTTTTACCTACCACATTGTTAAATAAGAACATTAAAAATATACTTCGATTATGCCTTATTGAAGATGTTGTATTGTTTCATATCCGTGTTCGGAAAAATATAAATAGCTTTTGAATCTCTAAGTTATACCCTCATGTATTCGCCTCTGATTACTGGACTGTCTCTCGCTGTTATCTTATAGGCCATATCCACAGAATAAGTTGATCATGTATACTGCTAACATATAAAACAAAAGTCCTGTGCTAATCAAAACTTATGATTCAGCATAGATGAATTAGAGGATAAGATCTGCTTAACCTGCAAGGATTTATGAGGCTATTTCTGTGTCTTTCATACATGGCCTGCATACGTTCATGTTCATGTTGAGTCTTTTCCGAGTTAGTACATCTTGACATTTTTACTCTTTCTTAGCTGGGGAGTTTCTATAGAATCCCTTCTTTCTCTTTAACTAATTTATGTATTCCTCACAAACTTCGTGATTATTCGATGACTGATCTAATCTCTAGCCCCGTGCGGCTAATGGTTATTCTGAGATGGGACAGTACTAAGTAAGTTCTATCTCTTATGTATTTCTTGACTGGGTCTATTCTGACGTCTGTTACCATAGCATTCGTACGGATGTACCATGGCACTTTGAAGAGTCTTCGAAGAGCCTGACTTTGAGCAACGTTGTTAATTTTTATTTTCCATTTCATTCAAGCGGCAAAGACCAGTAAAGACTCATTTCATTGCTTTTATATTCGATTAGTTCAGAGTTAATAGTTATTTACTAAAATACTTTCAGAATAAAACTGAACCTTTCCCCGTTAAATATTAATTACACTAGAACTTGTTGTAGCGGGAAACCATGAGACCATTTGTGATTGGCTTTACTAGTCTAGTTCAGTTTAGCTAGAATCCGGTTTAGTCCTAGTGGCAGTTTTCTTAGCCAATTTATCTGTCACTTCAGTGCTATCAAAGTTTAATAGTTAAGTATATTAAGCACATTAGTTGTGTTTGACTATTCTATATATGAAATATTAGGTTCAATAACTAAAAGCAGACGATTATGCTCGCATTGCTATTATAGTATTAAATACTAAACAACGTATCTACTTCAACAAGTACATCCGATCACATTACATCCAATCTTACTTCTCATTTGTAATAGAGAGCGTGTTGGGAATTCTAATAAGTACTTCACCCTTGGATACAACCGATGAAGTAATATCAATATTAACACACTACTACTCTTTACTATTAGTACGAGAATATTATTTCGATCATTTATTTGGTAACACTTTTTACTACTTGCGATCACTTCCTATTGTTGGAACACATATATCTGAAATTGTAGTATTGAATAATTCCAAAAATTCTTATAAATTCATTCTAAGAATAGTAATTTTCGGTTTTGCACTCAATATTTTTAGATAAATTATTTCAAAATTCAGTTTTCGCATTGATATTCTTTGTTTGTCAGAACTTTGACACAATGACCATGAATGTGTAAGTTTTTTACAATGAACACACAAAATGACCACATTACACAAAAATATTAGAGCAAAGCCTTTAGAACAAAACTCTTTATTCTCGTCAA